AATACATAATAAATAGCACATTTTATCTCTGAAGCAGACGACTTCTCAAAAATTGTAGACCAGAGTAATGGAACTAGTTGGGGGAAGAGCAGTACCTCAGTTAATCCATTTAATGCCCTTACTGAAATTAAGAACCTCTCACAATCGAAAGAACTAGATTGCATTAGCTATATTCTCTGTAACAAGGTTGTCACCATATGGATGATGGAATCCATATTGACCAATATCAGAAGACTGATTTCAGTGTAAAGGAGAAATAGCTGGTTATGTGGAGCTGATAGTCTGAGAGCTTTGTGACCTGGCAAAATGTTGGGAGGTGTGGGAGCAATTTTTGGAAGTAAAAAATAATTTACATGAGAAAAGGGCATAAGGTTATATTTCTAATTGTATACAAATGTTTTAGATTCCAAACATTGATTTTCCCCCCCATTCATCTCTTCCTAGTGTGATTCTCTTTATCTTTTTTTACAAGCATTTCAATTCAAGGACATCCTTTGATGTGTGTATTTTTCCTGTCATGCTTTTGCTGTCTTATCATTATTATTGTATATATTCATGTGTATCTATACAAAATAAATGGTCAAAGTAAAACTAACATAGACTGTCTTAACTATATATGAAAGGCTGCATTTATTTTTAATATGTAACATGGGAAAGTTCTCTAGTATTTTAACTGGACCAGAGATATGTCCTCATTAGTTTAACATCTAATGATGTACTGTGCTGAAAGATTTAAGGCATGCACATGGATTCTGGCTCACAGCTGTAATGTGCATTATAGGATTTTAGTTTTGGTTTCAGAAGTGTTTCCTTTGAGAAATATAATTCAGTTTTCTGAGTAACAGAATCCTGGTTGCTGAATTTCAGCAGGAAGATGGGGAAAAATTGATACCATGACCAAAAGAAAAATAAAGTAAATATTAAATCCTTTCACAGTAACCCCCCCTTCCATTTACAAGCTCAAATTAACTAATTAATTCTCAAATAATGCTGTGTGGTTTTATGGATACTTTCCCATCAGTGCAATAATTTCACTGTATAAACGCTTGGCTGCATCAAGACCCCAGGTGAAATCCCAGTGGTTCCAGTCAGAAATATGCTTGTGGTAAACTAGGTTAGTAATGCGAGGGAGTAACATGTCAATATCCTTTGTGTCTACCATCCAGTCCTCTCCACCGGACCATACTGCAGTGGGCACAGTCATATCTTCTATCTTATAGAAGGGAGGGACAGACTGAAAGACAAAAATGCAAGTCTCAGATGCTGTCTTAATTTTTAAACAAAAATAATTGATTAACCATTTGACTGCTGTGCAAAATTGCCAGATTCATCTGAGATGATCAGTGTTTTGGGACTGTAGTTCTCAAACCGTGGTTGATAGTCTACACAGCACCTGCTGCTGCTCCATAAAGAGCTGCCTTCTACACGTGTCCCAATTCATGTTTGTAACATAGCGTCTGGGTGCCAGGATAAGCCTGCCTAGTTTCCTAGGGATCAGTGCTACATGGGAGTAGTAGGAGGAAAAGGAACTGTTCTCAGAGACTTGCTGCTGGAAAGGAGTTCCTGGTTTGAGAAGACCCAAGACCCATCCAGCTGGAGACAAACATCCAGCAGAGAAGGGAAACAGGCAGTATGCAGAGAAGATCAGAGGAGAAGGTGAACACATGGCAAAGAACCAGGATCAGGAGAACGTGCAAGAAGGGAACTGGAACATATACAAGAGAATGGGGAAGAAAGGAAGCTGGAGGCTGTGCAGCGAGAGAGGAAGACCTGGAAGCGGCAGAGCACGTGCAGGAGGAGACAGGGCCAAGTAACAATGACCTTGTGCATGGGAGGTGAGGACAAAGCAGCAGTGAACACAGGGCAGGAAAGTGAAGGAGAAGGCGACCGGATGGCAGATGAGCAGGTGCAGAGAAGCCTGGGGAAAGAGAGGAAATGAACAAATGATAGAGGAGATTACATGAGGAGCAAAAGGAGACAGTATGATTAAGTTTTTCAAATGGATGAAACCCATATTAAATACACCCCAAAAGTCCATAAACTAATGCTAATTTTCCTGTAGTCAAACGCTGTAACAGATTGGGGATGTGTTGTACTTGAGCGTGGGAAGACAGGAGATCATTCTTATTTTTAAAAGATAACTTAGTTTTCAATAAAAGTCATTTTTCCCTACCTGGTTGTACTTAGCCTGGTTCTCACTGCCATAGTCAAAATATTTGAATTCTCCTGATTTAACTGCCTAGCAAAATGAAGAAAAGAAAGTGTAAAATTAGACCGAATTGTCCACATGCCTTTGCATATCAGTGTGCTGTTCTGCCTTAAACTATCATGAAACAATGATATTATAGTATGCAGGACTTAAATTAGACATTTTGGATGAAATTTTGGCAAAACACACATTGACTTCAATAGGATCAGAATTTAGCCCTTTGCACCTACAACAGCATATTTTGAGCATAAAAAAAATAAAAAATTACATGCACTTCTTCAAAATCACTTCTCACTTTTCATTGCTGGTGAGTAATTTTTAATCTGTATCTGCTAACAAACAAGTTTTTCTTTTTGTTAACTTCATCATTAACATTGTGCACCAGGGGTGCTTTTTGAGAACTTTGTATTGACAGATTTTGGTATTACATAGTCCATGATTTTTTTCATCTTTCTCTTTCTTGAGACAATAGTCTTAAAATACATCTCTACCCCGATATAACCAGACCCGATATAACACAAATTCGAATATAACATGGTAAAGCAGTGCTCTGGGGGCAGGGGGGGCTGCGCACTCCGGCAGATCAAAGCAAGTTCGATATAACGCGGTTTCACCTATAACGCGGTAAGATTTTTTGGCTCCCGAGGACAGCGTTATATCAGGGTAGAGGTGTATATAAACAATTAAAAGAATTATAATTTCCCTTTTCCTTTTCAGGACTGCTTTCTATACTGGTGTTCTTCACCGAGGGATTATAGGGTGACACAGGCAGCAATCCCTATAGTTAGATCATCTTTTCATTATAAGAGCCTGTTTTCAGTTTGCCAAACTTTAATAATTTAGGCTGAAATTTTTCAGCTTATCTCAGGCTAAATTCTTTTGGCAAATTTCAGTAAAACCAGTTCAGTCATTTGTTAGAAAATGTCTAGTTTCCCTGAGCCACGTCCATCCTGTGCACTGAATGAGGCAGGGCCCGGTGGAAAAAAATAGTGTGTGATCATGTAATTAAAGATTGTATCATAATACCTATGCACAAGGGGGCTTAATTAAGGTTGCATGAGCAAACTTTATTCTGGAATTTTCTAACTTTTGAGTGTGTAACTTTACAATCTTTATAGTCATAGCTTTCCTACATGCCCGTCCTTTCACACTGAAAACTCTCAGTAACCAATAACGTCAAAGATGGAACTCAAAGGATTATGTCACTATATTAAAATCTCGTTGATAAATAAATGCCTGTCTGTTCTGAATAAATCAGGTTTTAACTATAATCAGAGAGCGTAAGGGAGAGTATAAATAGCAGAATATTGAAAGATTTCAGAAGCTCTACCTGGGCCCAGTGCAGTATGTTTTTAATAGATGTTTCATCTGGAAAGCGGCCTGTGTACACATCCATTCGACTCTGCAAAAAAAAAAAACATTTTTAGGATATCATTTGTTTTCTGAATGAAATGGGAGAAAGGCAGGATTCTACATAAACAAAACACCATTCAGTTCAGTAACTACAGCATTACAAATCATCCAAAATTGAGCAAGTTGGATAGCCAGAAAAACTGGAATATTTTCAGAAATCTAATTCCTCTCATATCTGTTAATTTTTAAATCAATTACTTAATGATAGTTCTGCCAAAAGTAGTAAGAAAACATCTAAAATATTAAGCTCTCCTTGAACCTATTGTAAGGTTTAATTTAATTCTGTCTGAGTTACAGTTCTGAGTGCTAGATAAAAACAGGCTTGCAATATTTGCCTAAACTACCTCATGCTTTTACCATGTGTAGATCCTGGGGGAAAGCTAGGTGGATACTATTGACTCATTGAGCTAGGTGGATTGTCAGACCATCTGAATATACAGGAAGTGGGAGTTGCTCTCTGTAAACAAAGGAGTCAGGGGTGTTGCTTAAGCAACCTCATGTAGGAACAGCCAAGTTTGAGTAGAAAGCTGGGCTGAACTTTGTTTCCTGTCGTTAATTTCTGTCCTAATAGAGCCAACCGCCGGCTCCCCGAAGGGTTCAAGTCTTTGACTCTATGTATTGCATGGGACTTTGTTTCAGAGCAGGTTGAGCAAGGTACCAGCTCACACGAGGCATAATTTCCTTTTCATTTTTTATTCAGAGAACTCCAGTTTGCCATGTAAATGACACCTCTGGCAAATGGACTCTCAACATTTCCCCCAGAGACGAGATTAAATATTCCTGACAACATATGTTTTCAAAGTGTGTCTGTGTGACAGTGGGTACCTTGCAGTGCTGCCAGGAGACATTACTTTAATCTTTGGCTGACTGGTGCCTGTTAAGCCGACAGACAATTTAATAATATTATTGATAAATATCAGTTGGCAACTGGTGCCTGTTAGTTCGGGAACTGCAGACTTTCCTTATCTGGGCTGCATTCTAGTGTAGGGGAGGTTAGGTTGAGGAATGGAATTCTCACACACCACCTCCTCAAATGGACAGATAGGCATTAGGACTATAGCATAACCCATCTATGGCCACTAAGCCACTATACTGTGCTACAATATGTTCTTCTGAGTAATGTTCTGGGGGCAGTGGATTCAACAGCCTCTCTCCTGCCCACCTGTCCCACTGGAAACCAATGCAGATGGCCTACCCCAGCACTGAAAAGCGAGCATTGTGACTCTCCCTGCACAACTGCTCTGGACACAGCATGCACCTGCACCCACCCACCCTGGGACTTATGTGACACTGGTGTTGTGTAAGTCAGGGCCTGGGACTGCAGGCTGTAAACTCCAAATTTGACTGTGATATTTTAATGCCATGTTAAACATTTACACTGCTTTATTGAGAAAAAGACAGGTAACACATTAGCCAAACCACTAAGCCAACTGTAGGCTACAGAAATTCCCAGTTAAATTGCTTAGCACCACCTGCATTGTTGAGGCATTTGCTTTCTGCATTCTCATCATGTTTGAAAGTCCCTAGCAAAACTCTACAACAATTAAAGCACCCTGATTTACTCATTCCAAATTAAATAATTGCACACTTGGCACAAATGCTGTTGAACTGAAAAAGTTAGCTTGATTTTAATCATCACTAAAAAAAATAGGGCTGATATAGATATACACACATACCATATTTATGTTTTTCTCATTGAATCCACCCGCAAAGAAAAATGCATTGGCACAAAGTCTATTAGGTAATTCATAGCAGCATATTTTGGCAACGATCTCTCTCATAGTATTACCCCACCAACGGAAGTCTTTTTTGCCAAGAAAATCCTGTGAAAATGCAAAGGGTATTACTTACAGTGAACGTTCAAAGTGTATTTTGTATAGTTCCCTTATCACACTACAGGCCTGATCCAGGTCATACCCTTAACTGACTTCCTTTAGGTTCTCATTTAGCTACTAGGACCACAACTGTGTTCCATCAACTGTGTATTCCACAGTTAATACATGCATACCTCATGGGATTTTCATTCATTCAAGGCAAGAAGGGGATTTCCCACCCTCTACCCTGACTTGTACAGATACCTCAAAGACATATGCATCAGAATGGTATCAATACGGTAAGCTGACCATGAAGTTGGAAAATTCACATTCAGATACCTTCTCCCCCCATTTTTTTCAAAATTAATTAAAAAAATACTTGAATACAGCATTAAAATGGTTAATTTAAACATACTGAAGCCAGGAATTCAACAGTTAAGACTCCGAACAGGGATGTTAATTCTGACACCTTGCACATACTGTGAGAGGCATATGTTTAACAAAACAAACAACCACAAACACTACGGAACATACATGCACTGTGACTGAATTAATATTTCAGTGGTGATCTAAACTGTTTACAGTATATTACCTCTTGTATTATCTGGTAGCATGGGACTCCTGCTCAGGGACAATGCCTCTTTTTAAAGACCAGTACTCAGTAGCGTAATAAAATACAGAGAAATCTCATACCTGCAATGCTCCTTCAGGCATTAACAACATTTTCACCAGAGGGCTTTTGGTGTGTCCAACGGTGACAGCAGGAGCCAAGGCAAAAAACATTTTGACTTTCTGTGCCAGCTGTGGCATGGAAGAAAATGCTATGAACGCTGAGAAAGTAGAAGAGAATAATTACGGAAATCTTGCAAAGAATAACTGAATACTTACAGGTTTCAGAGTGGTAGCCTTGTTAGTCTGTATCAGCAAAAAGAACGAGGAGTACTTGTGGCACCTTAGAGCAGTGTTTCTCAAACTTGGGCTGCTGCTTGTTCAGGGAAAGCCCCTGGCGGGCTGGGCCGGTTTGTTTACCTGCCGCGTCTGCAGGTTCAGCCAAATGGGGGCTGCAGGAAGCGGCGCAGGCCAAGGGATGTATATCTTCCTATTGTATTTTCCACTGCATGCATCCGATGAAGTGGGTTTTAGCCCATGAAAGCTTATGCCCAAATAAATTTGTTAGTCTCTAAGGTGCCACAAGTACTTCTCGTTCTTTTTGCTGAATACTTACAGGCATTTGTATGAAACTCCATCAGAGGGTTCATCAGGACCCAGCATGTAGATTTGGTTTAGAAGAAATCAGCTTTCATGCAGAATGAAGGAATTTGCATGAAGTTTAGGATGGTCCTTGACTATGAATCAAGACAGGCAATGACATAAAATAGTTTAGCCAGGGACTGACATAAGAGTGCTGTGGCTGTGCTGAATGATGCAACTTATCCCAGAATAAGAACAGGCAGAAATGGAAACTGTACCAAGGTCATCATAATTTCAGAGGAGTTAGCATGGATATTTGTTCATGACCTTTCTGTTTAACTTTTATATCACTTTCACAGCAGAAATGTTAAAAGGAGATTATTTCTTTATTTCTGTGGTCAAATATAGTCCTGATATGAACCTCTTTAGTGCCTATTGCCAAGAAGCAGATCTCTCGATTATCAGTTATTGAGACTAAAAGGATTGTATTTTGTCCCTATTACTAACAGAGAATATGATAACTTGATAAGCCTGAGTTGGAACAATAAGCTCATTTTCACACTTGGGCTAGACTATCCATTAGTATGGAAGAAGGGTGCACCATGCGTTTCACCTGAAAACAAAAGCCATTAATTTTTGTGCAGCATCCCTGGGTTAATTTTAGAGGGTATCCTTGTCCCTTCAGCAATGAAAGATTTTTCAGGCTGAAGTATAGTCAAAAATTCTATTTGTGACAGCAAGATGAAGTTTAGCAAGAGAGGAACCTTTGGTGGTCACCAAAACCTCTCTGGTTGTTCTAGGAATCTGTTGGCTGCCCCTGATTATATCACAGGCTCCATGGCTTCAGTGGGACTTTTACCTGAGCCAGCTCTGACTGAAAACTGAGAAAGGAATCCTGGACTTAGCTCTATATAAAGTACTGGCACAATGTTACACAAAAGTGGGAATTGTCTCTGCAATTTTCTGCTTATAAACATATGAAAGAGTGATCGGGCAACAAAATGGCAAATGAAATTTCATGTGGATAAATGTAAAGTAATGCACATTGGAAAAAATAACCCCAACTA